TTCCCAGTTAGTTGATCTCTAAGGTGCTACTGGAAGGATTTTTTTATTTTGTATGGGCTTTGAAGACGCTCAAATTCAGGATGTAAGGAAGAAAAGGAGGAAGACACGCTTGGCAAATCCACACCGTGATCAGCTCCTGCCCAGAAATCTATGTCCCCACTGTGGAAGGACGTGTGGATCCAGAATTGGCCTCCACCGTCACTTACGGACCCACTGCTAAAACCGTGTTTATGGAAGACAATCTTACTCGGCTACGAATGATTGTCAAAGAAGGGAGGAAAGAAGGCCCTCTCTATCCAAATAAGCCTCAGAGAGATCACGATGGCAGCATTCACAGCAGCTGAGAATCCAAGTTTCTCACCCTCCCTCCTTTCCAGAATATGTGAACCCACAGAGAGAGAGATAATTTATTACGGTCAAAGACCAGCTCGCATAACATAACACAATAAAAACAGCATTCATAAAGATAAAATATACAATCGGAGCAGATTGCAGCAATAGCTCATGAGTTAAAATTGAGATATATACATACACCCGTACAACTGAGATTTGGGCTACCATAAAAAATTGAAGGGTGACTTCAGCATTTCCCTAGTAAGCTATTTTATTCTAGAGGATGATCTGTGCCTACAAATCTGGGCGCAGAATCTGGCTACCACCCAGGTCATCTTGTGATCTTTGCCTAAGAGGAGAGGATTCAGTTTAGACTTGTCTGAAAGATTGGAGAGCCTCTCCAGCAAAGGATCAATGGTGTCTCTATGAATCTCAACATAAAAAGGACATCTAAAAATATATATGTTCAGAGCTTCCTATTTCCCCTAATGGGCAGGTGCAAAGTCTCTGTGCGTATGGGACTCTTCTATAGGAGCCTTCCAGAACCGGTGAGGGCAAGGCTGAGCTTCTAGCAAGAGTAAAAGCCCTTCTTGCATTTCTGGATGTGAGGAAATAGAGATATGTTGCTGGAGTGGCTACGTATCTCCCTGTTTTCTTTGATTTTATAATCGGGGACCCTTGTACAGTCCTGTTGTCTCTCTATGTCCATGATTCTTTGCCTAATCTAGCTTGGCCCAGGCCCATAATTATGAGGGTTTGGGGAGTAAGGCCCTGTTTCTGAAGAGTGTTTAAGACTGCTGTCTGCCAGCCAGCCAGACTGAAACTGGTCGCTCAGAATTCCTTGGGGAAGCAGTTTCAGAGTTAGCCGCTTACCGTATTTCTCGCTCCGTAAGACGCACTTTTTCCTCCTAAAAAGTAAGGGGAAATGTCTGTGCGTCTTATGGAGTGACTGCGTTGTTTCCTGGAGCCAAATTTGTTGAAACAAAGCCGCTGATCAGCAAGCGATCAGGAGAGGAGATAAGGGACTCTAGCGATAAAGGAGGCTGCCTGGGAGGGGGGAGGTAAAAGCCCATGGATCCTCAGGATTTTTGCACTGGGTCACCCCAAATTCTCCATCAGGTCACATAGCATGTCCATGGCTACAGCCTGCACCAAAAAAACCACGCATCCACTGTTTCGTGGGGCCGCAATGGTGCAAAAACAGTGGTTACAAAGCACAGATCCACGTGGATCCTCAGGATTTTTGCATTGGGCTACCCCAAATTCACCGTCAAATCACATGTCTGTGGCCACAACATGAACCACAAAAATCATACATCCACTGTTTCCTTCAGAATATTTTTTCTCTCGTTTTGCTCCTCTAAAAATAGGTGCGTCTTATGGTCAGGTGCATCATGTGGAGCGAAAACTATGGGTATATACAGATGTTAGACTAATATGAGCTTAGACTTGCATCATGCTTGTTTCTACTCTGACTCAAGTATTTGAAACACATCTTGGAACTTGTAGAAGGGCTCTGAGGAGTTTGGATTGCACTCTTTCAAGGGGAATAAACGAGGAGGGAGGCAGGCCCAGAAAGGATCCGTAAAGGAGCTGTGCCAACATTTAATAATAATAATAATAATAATAATAATAATAATAATAATAATAATTTTTATTTATATCCCGCCCTCCCCAGCCGAAGCCGGGCTCAGGGCGGCTAACAGCAATCAAATGATCCAACATTCTAAAAACATTTCATTATAAAAATTAATTAAAATAAAATTGATGGCAACCGTTAAGCAAAATTCTGTGCAGATTGCCAGAGGAGGGAGTCAGGCTGCGCCCTGACCAAAGGCCTGGTGGAACAGCTCTGTCTTGCAGGCCCTGCGGAAAGATGTCAAGTCCCGCAGGGCCCTAGTCTCTTGTGACAGAGCGTTCCACCAGATCGAAGCCACAGCCGAAAAAGCCCTGGCTCTAGTTGAGGCCAGCCTAACCTCTCTGTGGCCTGGGACCTTCAGGATGTTTTTATTTGAAGACCGTAGGTTCCTCTGTGGGACATACCAGGAGAGGCGGTCCCGTAGGTACGAGGGTCCTAGGCCGTATAGGGCTTTAAAGGTTAAAACCAGCACCTTAAACCAGATCCTGTACTCCACCGGGACCCAGTGCAGCTGGTATAGCACTGGGTGAATGTGATCCCACAGCGAGGACCCCGTAAGGAGTCTTGCCGCGGCATTCTGCACCCGCTGGAGTTTCTGGGTCAGTCTCAAGGGCAGCCCCACGTAGAGCGAGTTACAATAATCCAGTCTGGAGGTGACCGTCGCATGGATCACAGTGGCTAGATCAGGGCGAGAAGGTAAGGAGCCAACTGCTTAGTTTGGCAGAGATGAAAAAATGCCGCCTTTGTTATAGCTGCAATCTGCGCCTCCATGGAAAGGGAGGTGTCGAAGATTACACCCAAACTCTTAACGGATGGTGCTGGCACTATTTGCGCCCCCGCAAGAGATGGGAGTTGCCCCCTCAATCCCATATCGTCCTGTCCCAGCCACAGGACCTCTGTCTTCGAAGGATTTAGCTTCAACCGGCTCCCACGTAACCATTTTGGCTTTATATGTGAACCCACGGGGCAACCATACAGATGAGGGCAGTGGCAATTTATTATTCATATGCCGCCCATCTGACCGAGTTGCCCCAGCCATTCTGGGCGGCTTCCAACAAATTAAAGCACAGCAAGACATCAAACATTAAAAAAACCAAGCCGGTTTTGCTGCCACGCTGCAATCTGAAGATGGATGACTCACCTCTACCCAGCCAGACCTGCACCTCAGCTTCCCTAGGGAATTCGGAGAGCATTCGCAGGGTATCCCTGCTCTTTCCCACCTCATGCAATAAGGAAAGGGAGTCCGAGATGCTGTACACAGAAATTTAATATCCTGAAAACCATTTCGAGGACAACAGGCCCGGCTTGCTGCTTTCCTCGCAGCTGAAATGCCAAAGTCTGCCTTCCACCCTTAGATACATTTAAAAAATAAAAATAAATCTCAGATTCACCTGTTCCATAGAAACAGAGGTAAGAGGCCTTACACCATTAGTCCATTTAATTTAGTACTATCCACACACTGGACTTTCCCCAAGAAGCACCGAAGGAAGGGGTTGGCAAAGCCAGCTCATTCATTCATTCAATCCATTTATACACCGCTTAGTTTATAAAAGGGTGGGTTAAACCACTGAGCCTAGGACTTGCCAATCAGAAGGTCGGCAGTTCGAATCCCTGCAACGGGGTGAGCTCCCGTTGCTCGGTCCCTGCTCCTGCCAACCTAGCAGTTCGAAAGCACCTCAAAGTGCAAGTAGATAAATAGGTACCACTCCGGCGGGAAGGTAAACGGCGTTTCCGTGCGCTGCTCTGATTCGCCAGAAGCGGCTTAGTCATGCTGGCCACATGACCCGGAAGCTGTACGCCAGCTCCCTCGGCCAGTAAAACGAGATGAGCGCCGCAACCCCAGAGTCGTCCGCGACTGGACCTAATGGTCAGGGGTCCCTTTACCTTTCCCTAGTTTATAAAAAGCCTCAAAGCGGTTTACAAAATGGAAAGAGGAGGGGGGAATCACAAACCTACTTCTAAGCATGCCAAAGTTAACACACTAAAACGGATTAAAATCACCTCGGCTTTCTAAGCATCTGCTTAGGCTTCTCTAAACAAGAACCCTTTCAGCAGGTGCTGGGAAAGAGCACAGTGAAGGCACCTGCTTGATTTCAACAGGCAGGGAGTTCCGCAGGGTAGCAGTGAGTCATGCCACACGAAACGACCCAGTTCTTACAAATGCGGAACGGGGATTACATGTAACGGTGCAAATTCCGCAGAGAAATGCACTCTCGCAGGTAAACTGGTCCCGAGTTGTTAAGGGCTTTATATAGTAATAGCCTAATGATACAGAATATATAGTTTATATGCCCCCACCTGTCACCACCTCCTGCCCGGCTCTGTCTAGCAGATTCGGAACGAGACGTCTCCGCAAACAATTGTTTTAAATTACCATCTTTTGAGCTCAGCGAGCGTTCCAGTTCCAATCATTCTGATTATTTATACTTTTAGTTAAGTATTTTTTTTTTTGCTTGATTAGGGAGGGGGGGGCAGATGTGGACAGCTGCCTCCCTGCCCTGCCCGGCTACGCAGCTGCAAATAGTCAACCGCTGCTTTTGCTTCTATGAGGCTTCAAACGAGGGGTTGGGTGGCCATTTGCCAGGGACTGTGGGGCTGCGATTCCTGCATGCCGGCGGGTTGGGATGGATGACCTTTGGGGGACCCCTTCCCAATGCACAACCCCACGGTTCTGCGCCTCTCGGGATGCCCACCCCGATCTTGGAAGGTGGATTCCCCATCCTTCCTCCCCCCCCCCCAGCATCTCACCTGATCAGCAGCTCCAGGAAAACCACGTTGCTGCAGCAGCCGCCGAAGACCAGCCCCACGGCCAGCCCGGGATGCATCCTGCGCAGAGACCCCCTCGGGCGTCCAGCAACCCAGCCCCGTGCACAGCCGGCGCAGGGAGCCGCTCCTCCGCCCGCGCTTCCTCCTGCCCCAAATCCCCGCCCGCCCCGCAGCTGTAGTTCCCGGGCGCCTCCGCCGCCGCGCAGCTCTACGGCTCCCCAGCCCGACGCGGACTACGACTCCCAGGATGCTCCGCGCCGCCTCCGCCGGGGACGCGTGGCCGCCGCTCCTTGTGCAATGGCCCTCGCGCTCGCCAAGGGGTTTCTGGGAAGCGTAGTCCTCGCCGCTTTGGTCCCGGGCAGGTTGCTATGTAAGCAAACCTGGGGACGGAGGAAGCTTCTGCAAGAGAGAGAGAGAGAGTGAGGGGGTTTGTTTTGTTAAGCTGCGCCAGGTAAATGGCCCTTTATTTGGGGGAGGGGCAAACTCGGGGGGATTTTTGTTCATTCGTTTCCTATGCGTCCAAGCAGTACAAATATATTGCACGGACTTGTGGTTTAAGTTTGCAATGCTATTGGATCTGCCTTGGGTTGTTGTTTTTTTCAAACTCTGGGGGCTTTTTGTCCCTTTATTTTGCATGCTCCAAAGCAATGCAAAGACATTGCACAAACTTGTGGTTTAAGTTTGCAATGCCGTTGGCATTGCCAAACCTCTTTGGGGGTTGTTTTTTTTGCAAACTCTGGGGGCTTTTCGTCCCGTTATTTCACACGCCCAAACAATGCAAAGATTTTGCACAAACTTTATTTGCACTTTATTTGCTTACACTGAAGGAGATCAGCTGACGTGCCGTTCTTTTAACTACACTAGGGAATGGGGAAATCCCAGAGTCGTAAGGAAGCGGCAGGTCTTGGAAGTACAACATTAAAGAAGGGCAGGCGAGAGGAGAGGAGCCCTTGTCATCATAGGGCTGTTCATGGTTCAGAAGGAAGGGAGGTTCACATCTGTGGAGCCACCACCCTAAAGGCCCTGCTGGTCCCTTTTGCCACCTGCCTAAGAAATTATGCTGGGCGGCACTTGACTAGGGCCTCTGCTGTTCTTAATAATCATATGGGCAATACTTTAGATAAAGTGCCCCTAAATTCTTTAGGATTTTAAATGTTTGCACCAGTGCCTTGAGGTGTGCTCAGAAATGCCCTGGAAACCAAATCTGGTATAATGTGCTTGGTCCTCAATGACATCTGTGCAGCTGTATTTTGTACCCAGTTGAAAGTCTTCAAAATGTCTTCAGGGGCAGCCCCTGTGGAGAGGGTATTACAGTAGCACATGCATAACCGCTCCCTGCACCCTCTCTGAGCACTCAGGACTGATAGACTGGGAGATTTTTGCAGGTTCCCAAACAGTTCTCAGCATAGCTGTCAACTTTTCCCTTTTCTTGCGAGGAATCCTATTCGGAATAAGGGAATTTCCCTTAAAAACGGGGAAACGTTGACAGCTATGGTTCTCAGTCACACAAGCAAGGTGGGCCAAGGGGTTACTTCTGTATAAAGTCACAGACTGCAAATCCCTTTCCATCAACTGCTGTCTTAAGCTGTCCATTCTCAAGGGTGCTTACATGTCAGTCGTAACAGTTTGGGGTGCTCACCCCATATTGCAAGGGCACATCAGGGGAGGAACTTGCCAGTAAAGGATGATAAGCTCTGGATAGGTTCGTTTGCTGTGATTCCTGCATTACAGGTCGTTGGATTAGATGATGATGATGATGATGATGATGATGATAATTTATTATTTATACCCCACCCATCTGGCTGAGTTTCCCCAGCCACTCTGAGCGGCTCCCAATCGAGTGTTAAAAACAATACAGCATTAAGTACTAAAAACTTCCCTTAAGAGGACTTCCTTCAGATGTCTTTTAAAAATAGGATCGCTGCTTATTTCTTTGACATCTGGTGGGAGGGTATTCCACAGGGCGGGCGCCACCACCGAGAAGACCCTCTGCCTGGTTCCCTGTAACCTCACTTCTCGCAATGGGGGAACCGCAAGAAGGCCCTTGGCGCTGGACCTCAGTATCCGGGTGAACGATGGGAGCGGAGACGCTCCTTCAGGTATACTGGACCAAGGCCGTTTAGGGCTTTAAAGGTCAGCACCAACACTTTGAATTGTGCTTGGAAACGTACTGGGAGCCAGTGTAGGTCTTTTCAAGACCAGTGTTATATGGTCTTGGCGGCTGCTCCCAGTCACCAGTCTAGCTGCCGCATTCTGGATTAGTTGTAGTTTCCGGGTCACCTTCAAAGGTAGCCCCACGTAGAGCACATTGCAGTAGTCCAAGCGGGAGATAACCAGAGCATGCACCACTCTGGCGAGACAGTCCACGGGCAGGGACGGTCTCATCCTGCGTATCAGATGGGGCTGGTAGACAGCTGCCCTGGACACAGAATTGACTTGTGCCTCCATGGACAGCTGTGAGTCCAAAATGACTCTCAGTCTGCGCACCTGGTCCTTCAGGGGCACAGTTACCCCATTCAGGACCAGGGAGTCCCCCACACCCGCCTGGGTTCTCTTCCACCTCTACAATTCTATAAAACTTGGGGTTTAAGTTTGCGATGCAATTGGCTCTGCCTTGGTTGTTGTTTTTTTAAAAGATGTATATACTGTCAGTATATACCTGCTCAACAGTCAACATATAATTCCAAAATAAGCTTCTATTTCATGCAGACTCTATTTAATCTGCAAATATAGAAGCCAGTCGGCTGGAAGAAGCAGAAAGGGGTATTTTCTGTCGTCTGTGGCTTGACCCTTTTTAACTGGAGATGCTGAGATTGAACCCAGGACGGCCAGCATACAGAGCAAGCGCTTCCCAGTTAGTAGGCCACCTTATAAGGAGTAGACCCACCTCCATATGGCCTGTACTGGCTGCCAGCAGCTTTCCAGCATTTCAGGCAGGGTTCTCTCCCAGGATGTCAGGATTTGAACCCAGGACCTTGGTGTACTCAAAGCGGATACTCTGCCTCTGAAGGGGCTTGGACTGCCCAATATTGCAGGCACATTCCCACCACGAACAGAGAACCAGGCAGTTCAGGTTGGACGATTTCCCCGCTTGCGACATCCAAGCATCTCACAGCCCATTGGCAAGGAACAAAGAACAAAGCTACCCTTTTGGAACGTTCCAGAGCGGCCAGGACTTATTAAATGACAATTTCCCAGGTCAGAATGATGGATCTCTTGGCTTCTCCCTCACATTAATAACCTCCGCAGTCTTGCTTTCCTTTTTTACCCTCGCTTTCTTCACGTCAAGGTGTGCCTCTCTTAATAAATGGGTTGCCCCTTGGCTTTGCCACGGGCAGAGAGGCACCCTGCTAATTGCTTCTATTGAACTGCTTTTGAATCCCTCAACCCTCTGGAATTAGAAGCAGGAATCCAAAATTGCTGAGAGGAGGTCCTTTATTTATTTTATTTTATTTTATTTAAAAAAACATTTTTATTCATTTTTCATTTTCGTTCATTACATACATCTCCAATTCTTAACGTTTACTATATATTCCTCCCTCCCTCCCCTGCAAGACTTTCCCCAACTTGCGTTTCTGGTTTGTTTCTATTTTCACCCGCTTTGCTATCTCTCAACAGAAAGTTATTAATAACATCAAACCTAAAAAACATAAAAATAAAATTAAATACATCATCTTATTTCACTGTCTTCCAAACATTCTCTGATGCTAATAATGTGGATGTTTATTTAAATCCTGCCAATACCTTTCTTTGTTTCTGCAAATATAATACGAATGGTTCCCAATCTCTGTTGTCCTTTTCTCTTAGTCTGTCTGTCATTTTTGCCAGTTCTGCATAGTTCGTCAACTTCTCTTGCCATTGTTCTTTAGTTGGTATTTCTCCAGGTCCTTTATTTTAGCAAGCCTTGGCACACGCCAGCGTCGCTTGAAACAGCCCAATACCACTTGTCCCTTCGCATGTCGCCCCTTCCAGTCCGTGTTTGGCTTCGACGGCCCCGTTAGCCGGCAGACGGGTGGACCTTGCAGCCTGTAGGATATTTCATGATGGCTTGAACCCTCTTCGGATTCTGAGCTTCGAATCAGTCTTCGAAAGTGCATCAACGCACCTGTATGTTGTGATCTGGGAGGCTTAGTTTGGTCAGAATCGAATAAACACATCCAGAATTAATGCTAAATACATTACTTCCGGTAAATGAGCCAGTATAGCCGCTAGAGAGCCATGAAAAATTGTCTCCCGGGCTTTTTGGACTCATCTACCCATGCACTAGGGACCCGGGTGGCACTGTGGGTTAAACCACAGAGCCTAGGACTTGCCGATCAGAAGGTCGCCGGTTCGAATCCCCGCAACGGGGTGAGCTCCCGTTGCTTGGTCCCAGCTCCTGCCCACCTAGCAGTTCAAAAGCACATCAAAGTTCAAGTAGATAAATAGGTACCGCTCCGGCGGGAAGGTAAACGGTGTTTCCGTGCGCTGCTCTGGTTCGCCAGAAGCGGCTTAGTCATGCTGGCTGTACGCCGGCTCCCTCGGCCAATAAAGCGAGATGAGCGCCGCAACCCCAGAGTTGGTCACGACTGGATCTAATGGTCAAGGTTACCTTTACCTTTACCTTTACCTTTACCCATGTACTATCTGAAACCAAAGGAGTGCATTGGTTGCCAGACGTGAATTAGGGTTGCCATTTTTCAAAAAGTGAAAATCCGGACACAAAAGTTGTTGAGCTTATTTTGTAATAATAATAATAATAATAATAATAATAATAATAATAATAATAATAAAATAAAATTTACACCCATCTGGCTGGGTTTCCCCAGCCACTCTGGGCGGCTCCCAACAGAATTAAAAGCACAAGAAACCATCAAACATTAAAAACTTCCCTAAACACTTTGGCAAAGTTGTTGAGGGTTGTTGGGGTGGGGGTGGGGCAAAGTTGTAGAACTTTTTATTTTGCAAAATCGCTCCCCACCCCCCGCAAAAAAAGTTTTTGAGCTATTTTTTAGGAAATTCACCCCAAAAAATCCACTCTTCCAATATGGACTGCCATATTCTCTTGGACATTTTAACCGAATTCTGAAAATCCCACCCGGATGCTATTTTTGGCGGACGAATCCCAAATATGGCCGGGGAATTCCGGATGTATGTGAGCCCTAAAATACATTGGCATTGTTTTCAGCTCTCCTGCCCGACTGTGAATGCCAGTTGCTGGAAACCATGTTCTGCTCGCTGGTTTCCCACAACTGGCATCTGATAGAGGATTCTGGACAGAATGGGCTGTTGGCCTGATCCTGCAGCCTCTTCTTATGTTTACCATTTAACTACGTGAAGAAGTTTGTTCTCCTGTCTACCCCTGAGACTTCCAACATTCAGCTTCTTTGCACAGCCTCTCTGGGTTCCCTTTAGCCCAGGGGCCAGCAAACTTTTCAAGCAGGGAGCTGGTCCACTGTCCTTCAGACCTTGTGGGGGGCCGGACTATATTTTTTTTTTGGGGGGGGGATGAATGAATTCCTATGCCCAACAAATAACCCAGAGATGCATTTCAAATAAAAGCACACATTCTACTGTAAAAACACCAGACAGGCCCCACAAATAACACAAATTAAAATACTTTATTGTCACTTGTGCAGCTTGTATACAGTGGTACCTTGGGTTACATACGCATCAGGTTACAGACTCCGCTAACCCAAAAATAGTGCTTCAGGTTAAGAACAGAAATCGTGCTCCTGCGGCGCAGCGGCAGCAGGAGGCCCCATTAGCTAAAGCGGTGCTTCAGGTTAAGAACAGTTTCAGGTTAAGAACGGACCTCCGGAACGAATTAAGTTCTTAACCCGAGGTACCACTGTACAGTGAGATTACACGAGCACCCCCCACTCAGCTCTCTTAGTCTTAATTCCCCTTGTTTACTGACGCACACCCACCAAACCCGAAAGTCAGTTGCCCTGTTGTTATCTTTTCATTCAGCAGCCTAACAGCCCATGGATAGAAGCTGTTCTTTACCCTGTTGGCGCGACTAATCATGCTTCTATATCTTCTGCCCTAGGGCAGGAGATCAAGAAAGTGCTGGACAGGGTGTGAATCGTCCCTGAGGATTTTCCTCACTCTCCTGAGGCAACGTTCTTCCGCTATTTCATCCAGCAGATTCACCGGACAGCCCATAATATCTTGTGCTGTATTCACCACCCTCTGGAGGCGCTTCCTATCTGTTGATGTCAAACCGGCGTACCACACCGTGATGCAGTAGGAAAGGACACTTTCTATTGTGGACCGGTAGAAGGAGATCATTAAATGTTGACTGACATCAACATAAATAAAAGGGCACATTCTACTCATGTAAAAACACGCTGATTCCTGGACCATCCGTGGGCCGTATTTAGAAGGCGATTAGTCTGGATCCGGCCCCCAGGCCTTAGTTTGCCTACCCATGCTTTGTTGTTGTTTAGTCGTTTAGTCGTGTCCGCCTCTTCTTGACCCCCTGGACCAGAGCACGCCAAGCACTCCTGTCTTCCACTGCCTCCCGCAGTTTGGTCAAACTCAAGTTAGTAGCTTCGAGAACACTGTCCAACCATCTCATCCTCTGTCGCCCCTTCTCCTTGTGCCCTCCATCTTTCCCAACATCAGGGTCTTTTCCAGGGAGTCTTCTCTTCTCATGAGGTGGCCAAAGTATTGGAGCCTCAGCTTCAGGATCTGTCCTTCCAGTGAGCACTCAGGGCTGATTTCCTTCAGAATGGATAGGTTTGATCTTCTTGCAGTCCATGGGACTCTCAAGAGTCTCCTCCAGCACCATAATTCAAAAGCATCAATTCTTTGGCGATCAGCCTTCTTTATGGTCCAGCTCTCACTTCCATACATCACTACTGGGAAAACCATAGCTTGAACTATACGGACCTTTGTTGGCAAGGTGATGTCTCTGCTTTTTAAGATGCTTTAGCTCATGCAAAACTCGTCATGTTGTCAGCAGGATACAGTGTGCTACCAAGCGTGTCCTGCTGCAAACCCCTTGAGGCGTTCAAATGCTCAATTGTGCAAGGATCCTCGCATCGGTCCCATCCCACATTTCACTCTGCTGCCGGGCCTCTCATAATTTTGCTGCTCTGTGCAGCGCCTGGCACGGTCCACATGAGAAAGGACCAAGAAAGTTTCCCTCGTTTTTGAATTGGAGGCCATGGGAGGTTGGGCAGCCAACTGCTTGAACCCCTTCGACGTAACGCCTTTGAGGGATGTTTGAGATTAAAGGCCATTCCTCTGTTCTTTCCCGCTTCGGGGAACCCTAAAGCTGTGGCAATGTACGGAGGTTATTTCCTTTGTTTTAGCATTAATAGTACAGCACTTAAACCTCCCCGAAGGCATTTCGGTCTAATACGTCTGAAGTGAAAGATCACAGGCGAGGTGGTGAACTTTTGCTAGGCAGGCGTCAGAGCCTTCATGTTCAATTACCTACTGCATGTTTCAAAATCCTTTCCCTTCGCTGGGTCTGAGAACGGGGTGGTTTCTGTGGTGTTTAGGCTGATTCCTAAAGCATATTGGCTTCAAATCAGGGCTTCATAACAGGGTTTTGAGCACAAAGTCATGGAATTTTCAACCCAGCGAAGAATTTCGACCCTAGAGCAGTTTTGGCGAACCGTGGCACTCCAGATATTTTGGAACTACAACTCCCATCATCCCTGACCACTTGTCCTGTTAGCTAGGGATGATGGGAGTTGTAGTTCCAAAACATCTGGAGGGCCAAGGTTCACCACCACTGCCCTAGAGGTTCTTTTGTGCCAATGGGGAGGAATCTGAGGGCAAGGTTTTCCTGTCAGTTTTTGGGGTGTCACCCATGGGTCCCCAAAACACACAGAACTCACCCGCCCCCATGAATCAGTGTTTTCTTTTTTTAGAGGGACCGGTATACAGTAGGTATACATTTGGCGCCCCCCAGAATTTGGCCCCCTTACACCGCTGGGTAAAGACAGCCCTGTCCCCACAGTCAGGGGTTCGAACCCCAATTGGGCAAAAAATGCATTGCAGAGGGTTGGTCTAGATGACCCACATGGACCCTTCCAATTCTACAGTTCTGTGATTCTATTCTTACTGGGCTTAGGAAGACACACATACACAGAGAAATGTCTTTTTTCCTCCTTTCTTAAAGAAGATTGCTCCAGTATTTCTCAAGAGATGAACCGTCAGTATGTTGAAGACCGGATTGTGGAAGTGGACCCTCTTCCCTTCACCTGGAGCGTGGAAACACCTGGGCCTCATTATGCTCTCTGTTTGAAGATGTCGCGGCTTAAGCAATTAGCGTTCAACTTTGAGTTTGGATCTGTAGACCCCAGGTAAAGGACCCATGGCCTTGCTGCGTGATGAGTAATACATTTTCAAACACTTGTTAGCCATGTTAACATGACGTTTTTACGGGCAGGCTTGAAATATCTATTTTTATGTTATTTATTAAATTTATATTCCACCCTTCATCATAAGGACTCAGGGCGGTTCACAATTCGCCTGCCCTGTGGAACACCCTCAAGGAAATAAACATCTATCTGACTTTTAGAAGACATCTGAAGGCAGGGACGTTTTTAATGTTTGAGGGGGTTTTTTAGTGTCCTAATATTCCTTTGGAAGCCGCCCAGAGCAGCTGGGGCAACCCAGTCAGATTGGTAGCATCTAAATGACAAAATTATTATGATTACTAATATTATCATCACCATCATCATCTTAGGTTAGCATTCAGAGGCAGCAACTCTCCCAAACTCAGCTCACAATACAGTGGTGCCTCGCAAGACGAAATTAATCCATTCCGCGAGTCTCTTCGTCTTGCAGTTTTTTCGTCTTGCGAAGCACAGCTATTAGCGGCTTAGCGGCTATTAACGGCTTAGCGGCTATTAACAGCTTAGCGGCTTTAAGAAAAAGGAAACAAACTCGCAAGAACTCGCAAGACGTTTCGTCTTGCGAAGCAAGCCCGTAGGGAAATTCGTCTTGCGGAACGACTCAAAAAACGGAAAACCCTTTCGTCTAGCAAGTTTTTCGTCTTGCGAGGCATTCGTCTTGCGGGGCACCACTGTACCGGTAGTTTTATTTTCAATTCTTAATGATTCCTAGCATGTATTTTGCCTTTCTTCAGAGCTGTTGCACGCTGGGCTGACAATTTCATCGATCTTTGCAGCTGCCTAAAGTTAGGATGTTTTGTCCCAGGGTGCATCGCTTCACACTTGTTGACACTGAAATCACATTTTCCCTTTTAATGTCTGTTCACCCATTCCTGGACAAAGGAGCAAATGGATGCTTAAGGTTGTTCTTTCTTTCTGTCCCAGGCAATCATTTCCAAAGACAGAATTTCCTGAACGGTAGGTAAGAAATGCGAGATAATGCTTCAATTTCTTCGCTCGATCTGCCTGAACGTTGCACCAGTTCTTGCTTTGAGAATTTATACTGGAGTGATTCCAACGAGCCTCCTTGGAGTTTTCTAAATTGGGACACAAAGGCACCTTTCTCAGAGGGCATGTCCACAGTTACCGTATTTTTCGCTCTATAAGATGCACCAGACCACAAGGCTCATCTAGTTTTTGGAGGAGGAAAACAAGAAAAAAAATATTCTGAATCTCAGAAGCCAGAACAGCAAGAGGGATCACTACGCAGTGAAAGCAGCAATCCCTCTTGCTGTTCTGGCTTCTGGGATAGCTGCGCAGCCTGCCTTCGCTCCATAAGATGCACACACATCTCCCCTTACTTTTTAGGAGTGAAAAAGTGAGTCTTATAGAGCAAAAAATATGGTACCTTTCCTCCAATCTTTCCAGGTCCACACTTTAAAGCTCCATGTCTGAGCGTCCTTGCTTTTGCTCCAGAACTTTCTCCAAAAAACCTGCTCTTTAGTGCTAAATCAGAGCAAACGTCAATCCTCAGAAAACCCAAATTGACATTTGTTCTGATTGAGTGCTAAAGAGCAGGTTTCGTGGGTGGAAATGGGGCACAGAGCTTTAAAGTGCAGACCTGCGTCTAGAAAAAGCAGGGCAAAAGTTAAGTGTGGATAAGCCCTGGATCCAGTGATTTATCTCGCTCTTCAGCCAAAAACAGCTCCCAAAGCAACTTGGAGAAATCCACATATCTTCGAGAAGACAGTTTCTGCCTTCAGTCTCGCAGTCTGAGACATGGCACAAAAGGAAAGGAGACAGGGAGGGAGGAGGAAGGAAAGCAAGCCCATTCACTAATTCTTAAAGGTAAAGGGACCCCTGACCGTTAAGTCCTGTCGTGGACGACTCTGGGTTTGCAGTGCTCATCTCGCTTTATTGGCCGAGGGAGCTGGCGTTTGTCCGCAGACAGCTTCCGGGTCATGTGGCCAGCATGGCTAAGCAGCTTCCGGCGAACCAGAGCAGTGCACGGAAACGCGGTTTACCTTCCCGCCGGAGCGGTACCTATTTATCTACTTGCACTTGACATGCTTTTGAACTGCTAGGTTGGCAGTAGCAGGGACCGAACAACGGGAGCTCACCCCGTTGCGGGGATTCAAACCGCCAACCTTCCAATCAGCAAGCCCTAGGCTCTGTGGTTTAGACCGCAGCGCCACTCGCTTTAATTCTTAGTTAATTCTAAATGCATTTTGATACTACTTTGTTTTTGGAGAAAAGAACTTCACGGCAGCCTTCAGAGAAGTGCAAAATCCAGGTGGATAGCTACATTCTGATCTACGTACACACATTAATCCAGGTGGTGTTGATCAGGCCAGTCCATACTGTGATTTTGCAAAGACCAAACGCCTCAAACATTCCTAAGTTCAACTAGATTCAAGTTTGTCTCTTTGTTCTCAGCTCCCCCCAACCCGGTTTGTTATTCTGCCATTTTGATGGATTGCCACGCTCAACATGCCTGTTTGCCATTTCTGGAACCGCATTGCTGCAAGTTTGTCTTGCTGCTTGTCCAAAACTGGGGAGGGTGGCCTTTTATTTTATTAAATAAATAAAAAACCCAAAAGAAAACTAATGCAATATTTTTTTAAAAAAAAACCCACACACACAAAAAGGGGGGTGTTATACCACAAAAGGACTTCATTAGCTAGATGCTAAAAAAGAAAAAAAAAGGAATTGTGATGGTTATTGCTTTGGGGGATAGGAGGAAGGAGAGTTTTGAAATAGTTTTGATTTTTCTTTCTCTCTCTCTCTCCTTCCCACTCCCTGCTTCATTCCTCAGGATTGTTAAGCTTGACATCTCTTTAAATGAACTCCAAGAGATTCCACCCGAAGCCCTTTTCCCGTTTGAGAATTTGGCCGAGCTGGACGCGTCGCTTAATGCTTTAAGCACGTGAGTGTGACTTGATGGATGGCGTTTTGTGGTGGTGGTGGGGTGTTTGTGTGGAGAAATTTAAGGCCTGTGCACGAGAGAGAGAGAGGCAATTTGGGGCCTTGCTCCTGAGCAGGAGCAATTCTCAGCAGGGCGTAGCATTCAGAGTTTTATCCGCTTTGCTGGTGTCTCATACAAAGCTGGCAATCCTAAATCCGGCCCGCGGACGGTCTGGGAATCAGCATGTTTTTACATGAGTACAATATATCCTTTTATTTAAAATGCATCTGGAGGTTCTTAACCTGAACCTGTTCTTAACCTGAGGCACCACTTTAGCTAATGGGGCCTCCCGCTGCCGCCACCGCACGATTTCTGTTCTCATCCTGAAGCAAAGTTCTTAACCCAAAGTACTATTTCTGGGTTAGTGGAGTCTGTAACCTGAGGCATCTGTAACCTGAAGCGTCTGTAACCCTAGGTACCACTGTATTCAGTAATAATAATAATAATAATAATAATAATAATAATAATAATAATTTGTTATTTATGGCCCACCCATCTGACTAGGTTGCCCCAGCCACTCTGGGCAGCTTGTAACATACATAAAACATAATAAAACATTAAACATTAAAATAAACCACTTCTACATACAGGGCTGCATTCAGATGTCTTCTAAAAGTTGTATAGTTACTGATCTCCTTGGCTTGCATAACTCCATAGCCTCCAACATTTCTCCGATAAAAATAGCGACGTCCAAAGGAAAAGGACGCGGGTGGCGCTGTGGGTAAAACCTTAGTGCCTAGTACTTGCCGATCGTATGGTCGGCGGTTCGAATCCCCGTGGCGGGGTGAGCTCCCGTCTTTCGGTCCCAGGTCCTGCCCACCTAGCAGTTCGAAAGCACCCCTAAGTGCAAGTAGATAAATAGGGACCGCTTTATAACGGGAAGGTAAACGGCGTTTCCGTGTGCTGCGCTGGCTCGCCAGATGCAGCTTGTCACGCTGGCCACCTGACCCGGAAGTGTCTGCGGACAGCGCTGGCCCCCGGCCTCTTAAGTGAGATGAGCGCACAACCCTAGAGTCGGACACGACTGGCCCATATGGGCAGGGGTACCTTAAGGAAAAGGAGGACATTCTGGGATCAGATCAGAAACCAGGATGGCTTCTGTAAATCCAGGACTGTCCCTGGAGAATAGGGACACTTGTAGGGTCTGTGGGTTCAACATTCTTTCCCTGTTGAGCGGGTAGCAGATCTCCAGGGTGTCAGCTATAGGTCTCTGAGAACTTTTAAATTGGAGATCCCACAGATCAAAACTGGGACCCAGAACGTAGTAGGGATGACCCAAAATATCACCAGCACCACCATTGATTTTGCAACCCCAATTTAAAGGTGGCGAAACAGACAGAAGGGACATTTGGGGCCATATCAAAAGCCCAGGGTTGATTGCAAGGTTGGGCAGGTGTCTACATTCACAAATAGCCAGCAGGAACTGGAACAGAGGATGATTACGATGTATAGATAAATTGGGGAGCTTGTTCAGATCAGCACCCTGGGGGAACGCGGACATGGTTAGAAAGGAGCTAACATTTTGGAGAGGCAGTATCTGCGGAGATGTACACACTGTGCACGGAAATTGTAGTTTGTTGAGGGTGCTGGGAATTGTAGTTCTGTAAGGGACGCAGGTGGCGCTGTGAGTAAAAGCCTCAGCGCCTAGGGCTTGCCGATCATATGGTCAGCGGTTCGAATCCCCGCGGCGGGGTGCGCTCCCGTTGCTCGGTCCCAGCGCCTGCCAACCTAGCAGTTCGAAAGCACCCCCGGGTGCAAGTAGATAAATAGGGACCGCTTACTGCGGGAAGGTAAACGGCGTTTCTGTGTGCTGTGCTGGCTCGCCAGATGCAGCTTTGTCACGCTGGCCACGTGACCCGGAAGTGTCTCCGGACAGCGCTGGCCCCTGGCCTCTTGAGTGAGATGGGCGCACAACCCTAGAGTCTGTCAAGACTGGCCCGTACGGGCAGGGGTACCGTTACCTTTTACCTTTAAGGGGTTGATCACAGTTCCCAGATTCTTTGGAATTGGGGAATAAGCTTTAAAAAATGTATGGTATGCTGACAGCCTATGTATAAAGAAATATTGGAAATCATTGAAACCAGGAAATAAACAGGGATTACTGTTCCTTTAAATCCAAAAAGAAATAATTAGCAGAGGGCAAGAAACACATTGGTCTGCAATCCTATGCAGGGTTCTCTGGAGTAAGTCCCATTGAACTCAGTAGGGCTTAAAGGTAAAGGTAAAGGTACCCCTGCCCGTACGGGCCAGTCTTGCCAGACTCTGGGGTTGTGCGCCCATCTCACTCAAGAGGCCGTGGGCCAGCGCTGTCCGGAGACACTTCCGGGTCACGTGGCCAGCGTGACATCGCTGCTCTGGCGAGCCAGAGCCGCACACGGAAACGCCGTTTACCTTCCCGCTAGAAAGCGGTCCCTATTTATCTACTTGCACCCGGGGGTGCTTTCGAACTGCTAGGTTGGCAGGCGCTGGGACCGAGCGACGGGAGCGCACCCCGCCGCGGGGATTCGAACCGCCGACCTTTCGATCGGCAAGTCCTAGGTGCTGAGGCTTTTACCCACAGCGCCACCCGCGTCCCTTCAGTAGGGCTTACTTTGGAGTAAACATATATTCCATTGGTGACAGAAACAATATAGTCACACAGTCCAGTAGCGGGAAAAGAGAGAAATCTCACCTACTCAAATAAATCCTGATTCTATTTGAAGCTGATATATTTTCACAGGGTATAGCGAAGGAAGATCTTGATAACACCCAAATTATTAAGGTTTTTTTTAAGACAATAAAAATAGGAACCGTGTAAAGATACGGAAGAATTAAAAGATAATGTATCAGGTTAAATTAATTGAGTGTGGATAATCCATTGCCTTGGGCGACTTAGCTTATTTCTTCTTTTGTGCTTTATATACGTCAGGAGTGGGAAACCTGTGGCCTACTAGATGTTGCTGGACTACAAAACCCATCACTCCTAGACAGGGCTGTCTTAAGCATATGCAGCGCCGGGGTGCAAAGATCCGTCCGACACCCTCCCCCCAGTTGCCAGTCCCAGGGGCGCAGGAGGGCAGAGCTGGCCAGCTGCCTCAGCATCTCGCTGGCTCCGTCACCCCTGAACTCGTGGCGCAGAGCCGCCCGCAGCAGAAGAGCCCGCTGGGCTCTTTCTTGGATTCAACTCTCTGTCGGAATCTGCGTTCGACCGAGCGACTCTTCCGGAATCGCCTCCGATGATAATTAACGACCTGAGCCTCTGATAAGGCTCCAGGCACATGCCCCATTCAGCAGAGTTTCCAGCACAGGGAAGAGACGAGAAGTTTGGGCTTCATTGCTAGGTTTTATTACTAAGCTACGTGGGCAGAAAAGAAGTGCATCCTCTCTCTGTGAGAGCAGAGAGCAACTGAGCAACAAAGGAACAGGAAACCAGTAACGTCACATCCGTCTCTTGTCTTCCGTGAGACTTCCAACAGTCTGGAATGTGAGGAATGCAAAACAAAGTCTTGTGGCTCCAAAGCACTGCACAGTGGCAAACTGAAACTAACACTCTCGGGCCCCAGACTCTTGGCCTGGCGCCCCTGAGAGCCCAGTGCCCGGGTGCCCCGCACCCCTAGCGCCTATGGGTAAGACGGCCCTGCTCCTAGACATTGGCCCTGCTGTCTGGGGCTGATGGGAGTTGTAGTCCAGCAATACCTGAAGAGCACTAAGCCCGGGAAGGCTGATGTATACAATACTGGTCTAGCTTAGCGATCCTCCATTTATTCCGGAACTACAACTCCCATCATCCCTGACTACTGGGGTTGATGGGAGTTTAAATCCAATAACTTCCAGAGGGCCTCACAGGCTGTCCACCTCAGATATACCTCATTTCTTTAAAAAAAGGGATTTGGAATCAATTAAAAAACAGCCACCACCACCAAATGTTTTGAAGATGGATGTGAGTAGAATAGGGGTTTATCTACATCCCAAGTAGGGTGGACGGCACCTGCTGAGGTCTCAACAATGACACACCTCCTGAATGACACGTTGGCAACCATAATAATAATAATAATAATAATAATAATAATAATAATAATAATTATTTTTTATTTATATCTCCCCCTCCCCGGCCGAGGCTACCATCATAAAAACAACACAATATGCATAAAAACAGACATCAAATAATTAAATTCCTTCTTTTTCCGCTTTTATCTGGGGTTGCAGGACGAGAGGGATGGGGCCCCTTCCCAACCTGGTGGCCCTTAACCTTAGTTATAACGCGATCAGAGAGGTGAAGGAGCTGGAAAACTGCCCCTGCCTGTCCGTTCTGCACGTGTCCCACAATCGCTTGAGGAGCCTCACAGATTTCCCTCTCTTGAGTAACCTGACACGGCTGAATTTGTCTTCGAATCAGGTAATTATTATTTTTTTTGGGGGGGGAGTGCTCAGGATCTCGAAATTGGGTGACTCCCAGGAGCTGGATGCAGAGCAGTGGGGTGCGGGGAGCGTGTTCCCCTCAATACTTTATAGGACTCCAGCTTCCATTAGCTGGATAGCCAGGATAGCCAATAGCCCAATGTGCTGGGAGTTATGGTCGAATAACACATCCATGGCCACCGATTCCCCATCTCTTATTTAGAGTCAGTATCACGGCTTAGAGAGTCGGTCTTTCTAAAAAAAGAAGTGGGAGGGGATCAAAACTTCTCCTAGCAGGTTCAGATAGTCCGGATTCATGTCAGGAATGAAGAAGAGGCTTGACGGATAATGAACAAAAGACCTTCTCAAGTTTTAAGCACTGATAGTTTCTGTACCTCTGCTCTGCTGTTAATCTAAGGGTTCTAAGTGGATCCCAAACTTTTGCAAAGCCGTTCTGTTTCCATCAGCTTGGGTCTTGCTTTGTGGTGCTCTGGAGAGAATAATAATGTTTATTATTTATTCCCCAGCTGCTCTGGGTGGCTCCCAACAGAATATTAAAAACATGATAAAAGATCAAACATTACAAACTTCCCTAAACAGGGCTGCCTTCAGATGTCTTCTAAAAGTCAGACTGTTTTATTTCCTTGACATCTGATGGGAGGGCATTCCACAGGGCGGGCGCCACCACTGAGAAGGTCCTCAGCCTGGTTCCCTGTAACTTCACTTCTCGCAGGGAGGGAACTGCCAGAAGGCCCTTGGTGCTGGACCTCAGTGTCCGGGCAGAATGATGGGGGTGGAGACGCTCCTTCAGGTATACTGGACCGAGGCCATTTAGGGCATTAAAGGTCAGCACCAACACTTTGAATTGTGCTCGGAAATGTACTGGGAGCCAATGCAAGTGTTATATGGTCTCAGCCGTCTGATAGATCAACCAAGATCTCAGTCTCTCTTAAATGTGCTGTCCCTTGTGCCCTAGTCCCTAGTCTCTTGTGGCAGAGTGTTCCACCAGATCGGGGCCACAGCCGAAAAAGCCCTGGCTCTGGTTGAGGCCAGCCTAACCTCCCTGTGGCCCAGGATCTCCAAGATGTTTTTGTTTGAAGACTGTAAGGTCCTCTGTGGGACATACGGAGGCAGTCCCGTAGGTACAAGGGTCCTAGGCCGTATAGGGCTTTAAAGGTTAAAACCAGCACCTTAAACCTGATCCTGTACTCCACCAGGAGCCAGTGCAGCTGATATAGCACTGGATGAATGTGATCCCGCGGCGAGGACCCTGTAAGGAGCCTCACCACGGCATTCTGCACCCACTGATGTTTCTGGGTCAGTCTCAAGGGCAGCCCCACAGAGAGCGAGTTACAATAATCCAGTCTGGAGGTGACCGTCGCGTGGATCACAGTGGCTAGGTCAGGGCGAGAGAGGTAAGGAACCAACTGCTTAGCTTGGCGGAGATGGAAAAATGCCGCCTTTGTTATAGCTGCAATCTGCGCCTCCATGAAAAGGGAGATTACACCCAAACTCTTAACGGACGGTGCTGGCACTAATTGCGCCCCCGCAAGAGATGGGAGTTGCCCCCCCAATCCCATATCGTCTCGACAGCACTGTCTTCTTATCTGCTTAAGGCGGACATGGACACGGTGCTAAAGACTCCTTGCTTGTCCACAAAGCATTTTCTGTTTTCTTCTTTCCCAACTCAAGTTGGAGTCTCTGGAAGGGGTGCAGAATCTCCCCCGGCTCCGCGAGCTCGACGTGCAGAAGAACCGCATTGCCAGCCTCCTGCCTCTGGCTTCTTCGCTGTCTCTCAACGTCCTCTGTGCCTCCGGCAACGACATTGGCGGGCTGCCCGAGGCTCTGCACGTGCTCAGAGGCCTCCGCAGGCTGAAGCATCTCACGCTCAAGGTGAAGTGTAAGCCGATAGCCCGGTAGTGGCTGGAAAGGGAGAAAGGAGAAGGTTAGGCCAGCCTTTTCCCAACCAGATGATTTTGCACCTCACATTCAATTCTCCACATTTCCACGTTTATGTTTTATTTTTTAAGCCTTCATGAAAAATCTTCAGCATTTAAGTGCCACTTTCTTCTAAGAGATCCATATTTCCTTTAATGTAGACATTTTTGCAAGTGCCACCACGCCCCACCCCAATATCATGCATTTTTTCATTATTGGTATATGCAATTTTATACATATTAATTGACTGGAGAAGTCCATTGCAAAATTCAGACAGGTGTGAATTTTGACCAGAGGCTATGTTTCTGCCCTTGGGATGCGGGTGGCGCTGTGGGTTAAACCTCAGTGCCTAGGACTTGCCGATCGCATGGTCGGCGGTTCGAATCCCCGCGGCGGGGTGCGCTCCCGCTGCTCGGTCCCAGCGCCTGCCAACCTAGCAGTTCGAAAGCACCCCCGGGTGCAAGTAGATAAATAGGGACCGCTTACCAGCGGGAAGGTAAACGGCGTTTCCGTGTGCTGCGCTGGCTCGCCAAAGCAGCTTCGTCACCCTGGCCACGTGACCCGGAAGTGTCTTCGGACAGCACTGGCTCCCGGCCTATAAAGTGAGATGAGCGCACAACCCTAGAGTCTGTCAAGACTGGCCCATACAGGCAGGGGTACCTTTACCTTTACCTTTTATGTTTCTGCCCTTATATTGTTCCAGGAAGTTCAAATTAGGTTGTTTAGCCTTTACATACAACCCGAACTGAATTTCTCCCATCCCTAGTAGCCAGTGCGTCGAACCAAAGGCTTTCTGAGTGGCCTTTGCATCAGTTTTCCATCTGTAAAGGGAGCTGGTGATATGTAAACTGCCTCTGAAACACAGAGAATCCATTGAGCCATCTTATCTATTAGCCACTGATACACAATCCCAAAGCTATGTTGACTAGTAGCCATCTTGTGGCAGGGAGTTCCACAAGCTGATCATGCACTGCACGTGGAAATCGTTTCTTTTCGTAGCCGGAGGGAGAGATGTGGGAGCAAGTCATGGAAGAAAGAGGGAGGGGGGAGCTCCTAAGGGACTAGATGACCCTTGGTCCCCGTTCCAACTCTACAGCTCCATTGTTAGCACAACTGGTGCATTGGATTTCTTTGTTGTGCAGTCTTCATACTCTGCCGTCCAGTAGCTCAAGGACTCTTGCGCTAGGGGACAGAGAATATCGGATCCCACCCACTGTCTCTCCAAACCTTCGCCCTCCACTGGGGCACATTGGGTGTGTCGTAACCTGCACTGCTATTATTACTATTATTATTATTATTATTACAGTGGTACCTTGGGTTAAGAACTTAATTCGTTCTGGAGGTCTGTTCTTAACCTGAAGCGCCACTTTGGCTAATGGGGCCTCCCGCTGCCGCTTTGCGATTTCTGTTCTCATCCTGAAGCAAAGTTCTTAACCCAAGGTACTATTTCTGGGTTATCGGAGTCTGTAACCTGAAATTATTATTATTATTATTATTAATACCCCGTCCCGCTCTGGGCAGCTCTCAACAGAATATTAAAAACACAATAAAACATCAAACCTTAAAAACTTCCCTAAACAGGGCTGCCTTCAGATGTCTTCTAAAAGTCAGGTAGTTGTTTATTTCCTTGACGTCTGATGGGAGGGCGTTCCACAGGGCGGGCGCCACTACCGAGAAGGCGCTTTGCCTGGTTCCTTGTAACCTCACTTTTCGCGGCGAGGGAACTGCCAGAAGGCCCTCGGAGCTGGACCTCAGTGTCCAGGTTGAACGATGGGGGTGGAGACACTCCTTCAGGTATACTGGGCCGAGGCCATTTAGGGTTTTAAAGGTCAGCACCGACACTTTGAATTGTGCTCGGAAACGTACTGGGAGCCAATGCAGGTCTTTCAGGACCGGTTGTTATGTGGTCTCGGCGGCCGCTCCCAGTCACCAGTCTAGTTGCTGCATTCTGCCCAACTTGCCTCCCAGGACAACCCAGTGGCGCGAGACAACCGCTACACCACTGGCATCAAGGAGTGCACCTCCGTGGAGATACTGGACGGGATGTTTCTCCACGATCCGCCAAGTCTTTCTGCTCTCCCTCTGCACATGTGGCCCCTCCTCCGGGAACCAACATCCAGTTCAACCGACGTCGCCCAAGCCAAAGCAGACTTGAAGGAGGCGGCCAGGAGAGCCTTCGGCGCAAGGCTGCAGCGGAGGAGAGACGACGTCGGCAGCGCTGTGCATCACTTTCATTCCAGGATATTGTAAGTTAAAACTGTGGAACTCACTGCCACAGGAGGGCAATCACGGCCACCGACTTAGATGGCTTTAAAAGAGGCTTGATGCCTACTGTCCAGGCTGGCTATGCTCTGCTGCCATAGCTGGAGAGAGTGATGCTTTGGAATACCAGCTGTTGGAAACCACAGGAGGGGAGAGCATTCTTATGCTCGAATCCTGCTTGTGGGTTTCCCATGGGCGTCTGGTTGGTCGTTGTGAGAACCACAATGCTGGCCTAGATGGGCTGTTGGCTGGATCCACCAGGCTCATGTGCTTATGTTCCTAAGGCATTGGATTCCTGTTTCAGACAGGGTGGAATTGTGTCCGAGGCTGCCATATTCTGTTTATGGACTACTTTTGACTGGCAGAGACTCTGGAGCCAGTGTTGATGTTTCGTAGGAATAGGCACACAGAATCATAGAATCGTAGAGGTGACTACAAGGTCACCTGCGATGCAGAAATCTTTTTGCCCAATGTGGAGCTTGAACCCAAAACCCCGAGACTGAGTCTCTCTCTCTCTCTTTTAATCATTTTTATTTGATTTTACAAATATAAATTTATAACAGTCCAAATGCATATCCCTATACAGTGGTGCCTCGCAAGACGAAATTAATTCGTTCCGCGAGTTTTGTCGTCTTGCAATTTTTTTCGTCTTGCGAAGCACGGTGTCGGGAAAGTTTTGGAAAAGCTTCAAAAATCACCAAAGTCTTTAAAAACCTCAAAAAAGGCTACCACACCGCGTTCTATGAGTTGCTCCTCGAAGTCAAGTCGCAACTGTGTTAACGGTGTTAAGAAAAAGGAAACAAACTTGCAAGACGTTTCCGTCTTGCGAAGCAAGCCCATAGGGAAAATCATCTTGCGAAGCAGCTCAAAAAACAAAAAAAACCCCTTTCGTCTAGCGAGTTTTTTGTCTTGCGAGGCATTTGTCTTGCGAGGTACCACTCTACAATCATACCTCATGTTACGTCCGCTTCATGTTACGTTCTTTCAGGTTACGTCCCGTGGTGACCCAGAAGTACCGGTAAGGGTTACTTCCGGGTTACACCGCTCACACATGCACAGAAGCGCAAAATGACCATGCTCATGCGCAGAAGTGGAGAATTGCAACCCGTGCGTGCGCAGACGCACCACTGCGTGTTGCATTCTTTTCATGTTGCGAACAGGTCTCCGGAACGGATCCCGTTCGCAACCAGAGTTACCACTGTATAGAGATTTCTCAGAATCTCAAGACTTTCCCCCGTCCCCTCTGTGGCTCCTCTTGTCAACATTTACAACCGCATATTATTCCATAATCTAAATTTTGTATCCATCCACATTATCCATAGTATTTGTTATATTACAAGTGTGATTAAAATCCTGCTGATGTTTTCATCTGCTTACAGCGGTCTCCTAAATGAATTATAAATTTTCCCCATTCTTTTTTTAAAAAAGTTTTTGTCCTCTTGGTTCCTGAGCTTTCCAGTCAGTTTTGCCATTTCGGCGTACTCCATCAGCTTAGTTTGCCATTCCTTTCTGGTAGGGACTTTTTCTACTAGTAGCATCCATGTGGCTGTTGCGGCATACATAAAAAGTATTTCCCTGCTTCTTTGGGATATCGGTACCTATTATTCCAAGACTGAGAGTCTTATGCTCTACCGACTGAGCTATTTGTGGGAGTTTTCTCTGCATCACAGAGGCACAGGTGAGCAGAGGATGCAGGCAGGCAGTAACACACCTGGCCCCATAAGTAGGGTGCGATTATTAACTGTGAATCTAAGGATGACATCAAAGAGCTAGACCTTTGGAGTGATATTTGTGCAGACCAAAGGATCCGGTTATGTTCCAGTGAAGAGCTTTGCTGAGAAGGCTTCAGAAGACTTAATATACATTGCGATTTCCTGCCTCGGCTCTCCTTTCCTGTAGACCAGCTTTCTGAACCTGTGGGTCCCCAGATGTTGTTGAACTACAACTCCCATCCTAGCTAGCAAGGCCAGAGCTCAGGGATGATGGGAGTTGTAGTCCAACAACATCTGGGGACCCACAGGTTGAGAACCGCTGCTGTATCTATCCAGCTTCTTGAGCCATAACTTTTTTCAAAGAGGGCCAGATTTGATGAAGGGCCGACCAAAGTTGTTGACCTTTTTTAGGATTGAGGTTTTTGAGCTTTTTAAAGGATTTTACCCCAGGAAATAAACGGCCACAGGGACCAGATTAAACTGACTGGCGGGCCAGATTAGGCCCCCGAAACAGACTTTGGACATGCCTATTATATGGCCAAAGCGTGTTTTTGAGATGATAATAATAATTTATTATTTATACCCCGCCCTCCAGCCAAATATTAAAATACAGAAGTACATCAAACATTAAAAGCTTCCCTAAGCAGGGCTGCCTTCAGATGTCTTCTAAAAGTGTGGTGGTAGTTGTTGTTCTCTTTGACATCTGGTGGGAGGGCGTTCCACAGGGCGGGCGCCACTACCGAGAAGGCCCTCTGCCTGGTTCCCTGTAACTTGGCTTCTCAAAGTGAGGGAACCGCCAGAAGGCCCTCGGCGCTGGACCTCAGTGTCTGGGCTGAACGATGGGGGTGGAGATGCTCCTTCAGATGATCAGACAGCCTTGTCTCCAGACTGTCACTTGAGGCTGCTGCTGGTGTAATTTAAAACAGGAGTGAAATTTCACTTGGTCTGTGTCTTGTGCTAGCACACACACCCATGTTTGGATCTTGTTTACAGATAGGACGTCGGGTGCATTCGGTAGCTTAGCAACAAAGGTTGCTCACTTAAATCAGGAATATGCGTGCATGCAGAGATGGGTATAAAAGTCAAGATTCCATTGCAGTCACTATATGGGACTACAGTGGGTCTGTAAGCCATTGTGTTTGGTGGTTTGACACAGCATTGTGAACCAGCACGGTGAAATGGATCTCTCTGCATATTTGCTTCTTCCAAGACCAGAAGGTCTGCCTTACAGTAGTTACTGTCTTTGGCTCCATCTTGTGCCTTGAGGCGATAAACACTTTAATCTCAGCCGAGTTGGGAAGGAGTTTCCTTAACTCTGGAAAAGGCTGGTCTACTGGAAAGCAGGAAAGCTCTGGCGTTCTGCTGGAGCTGTGCAGCCTCTGCTGATCACGGCAGAGTTTGCACAACTGACGGTGGGCCTCTGTCTGACAAGTTGTGGCCCAACCGCCTTCTATAAGCCATAACAGCTGCCCGGGACTATCGGCTCTGAGTCCCTCTCTCTTGTCTCTTAGGGAACTGCGGGAAGAGTTGACAGGCTACGAAGAAAGACTCAGACTGGAATTGGATGGGTGCGAAAGGTAAGGAAAGTCATGGTGTGTTTGGAGTGGAGGCAATAGACCATAGGTCATTGCTAGAACATATGGTTTGTACACAGAAGGTTCAGCCAGCATCCTTGGCATTCTTTCAACTTTAAAGAGTCTTAGCTGGCAAGTGCCAGGGACTGGCAGGCTCGTTTATATTTTGAGGATGATTCATGTTCTTATAGGAACACGGGTGGCGCTGTGGGTTAAACCACAGAGCCTAGGGCTTGCCGATCAGAAGGTGGGCAGTTCGAATCCCTGCGACGGGGTGAGTTCCCGTTGCTCGGTCCCTGCTCCTGCCAACCTAGCAGTTCGAAAGCATGTCAAAGTGCAAGTAGATAAATAGGTACCGCTCTGGCGGGAAGGTAAACGGTGTTTCCGTGTGCTGCTCTGGTTCACCAGAAGCAGCTTAGTCATGCTGGCCACATGACCTGGAAGCTGTACGCTGGCTCCCTCGGCCAATAAAGCGAGATGAGCGCCGCAACCCCAGAGTCGGCCATGACTGGACCTAATGGTCAGGGGCCCTTTTACCTTTACATGTTCTTATGTACCAGCATTGTCTTACACTTTCTCGATGTCCCATGGTCATATTATAAAGTAGTTGCATTCTACTTTATAGGCCCCAGTGGGGAGACACCGAAGGGGTTGTCCCTTTGGGGCTTGAACGAGGATGTGGGCCAGCCCTCTTACGTTAAAATTATTGTTTTAATGGGGGTGGGGTTTTAACCTGGGTGGGTGCTATAATATTTGGAGGGTGGGGTTGCTTTAAATTGTTGTTAAATGTTATTTCTTAATTTGGATTTTTGTATCTGTGGGCTAGAGTACTGGTTAGGGGCTTTTGTTGGGGACTATATTGATTATTAGTGTGTGTACATTAGTACTGTTAATTGTGTTGATTATCTGGATTATGTTTTGATTATGTACCATATTTTCCTGCGTATAATACGACCGCTATTTTGGGGGGGCCTCAAATTTATGAAAATGGGGGGAGATGTGTAAGACAACCCCCGTTTTTTAACATTATTTTAGAGTAAAAAAAAACCCTAGTCTTATACACGGAAAAGTACGATATTTTCTGCTTCATATGATGTAACTTTGCATTGTGAACCACCTGAGATATAGGCTGGTATGTAATAATAATAATAATAATAATAATAATAATAATAATAATAATACGTTATAAATCAAGTACTGATAGGAGTTGTTTCTTTTTGTTTTCCAATGTATTTCCTATTAAAAAAGAAGTGTGATGTAAGCAATTTTTTCTTCTGAAAGCTTGGCTCAAGAGAAAAAATGTTTGAGAGCCTCTGTGTTAGGTGGAGGGAAGACTGATAACACAAGCTGATGAGGCAGGACACAGATTGTTCTTAACAGTGTCAGCTGTTGTCTCCAGATTCATCCAAGCTCTTCCGTCGGAGGATTTCCGAAAGTTGGACAATCCTCAGGAGATTGCTGAAGCCATGGACAAATACCTGTTCACCAAATTCTGGGAAAAGTGGCAGAGGGGTCGAAGGAAGCCTGTCTGTCTACCCTACAAGGAGCTGAGCAAGCCAGAGGATGTAAGACCTGGGGTGTGTGTGTGTGTGTGTGTGTGTGTGATATGCTTGCCTGTTCAGAGCGAGGGCACAAAGCCCTCACTCTGAACTGGCTTTATGACATGATCGTGTAGCCAAATTGGATTGGCCACATCACAGTTCCATCATGTTCATTGTGGGACCCCCAACTGTCTGGGAAGAAGAAGAAGCTGCTCTGGATTTTCATTTTTGAAAGGCATCTGAAATATACTCGGAGTCTAGAGTGGATTTCATGCTGTTTATTCAGCTCATAGTGGTGAGGAGGAATGGAGGTTCCCCCAGAATGTCTGCCTTATATACATTATTTACACAAGGGGCCCCACATGATTGGCTAATTCCAGGATACACCTGTAGGTCAATCAGGTTGCAGATTCACTTCCACCTGGAGCTGGATTGGGTGGCTCCTGTGGACCAATCAGACTGCTGCATTCTGAATCCTATTGTTCTAGGACCAATCAGACTGCTGCATTCTGAATCCTATTGTTCTAGGACCAATCAGACTGTTGCCTTTTGCATCCTATTCAACTCAGTACATAACAGCACCCAAACATCTCCCTGTTCGGCAGCCAATTGACAACACACAGCTGCGAAAGTTACTTTGGCACCCCGAGAATCACTCCTTTTGTACCCAGAATGCCTTAACATTTGGCACAGGATCCATTCTTAGGCATGTGCCCCTTTCTTTCATTCCCATGAGTGAAACTTGATTCCCATCTCGTCTCCAGGATCTGTCCAGCCTTCTGGGCATCCGTGTATTCCTCTAGCCAATATCTCTGCCATGCATAACATTTTGCCTATTAATCATTTCCCCTTTTACAGTTGCTCTCAAACAAAACGCCCATCCAGGTGCACAGGGGTGTGTGTGTGGAATGGAAATACCAGCCCAGGCAAAAGGTGACAACGTTCTCTCCCAGAAAGGCATGTTGAGCCCACAAAGCTATGTTAGGAATCTGCTCTGTGATTCCTTGCTTTGCTTTGTAGCAGATGCATAATACATAAGCAAAGGCTTCAGGGAGATTTTAGCATCCTGCTGCGACTTCCACAACAGCCTTCCCCAACTTGGTGCCCTCAAGATTTTGCTGGTACGCCCAACTCCCTTCCTCCCTGACCTAAAAAACGCAATAGCATAGAGTGGCTTAAAGCTCCCCTTTCATGCTAATTGGGCTGCTCTAGGGTGCTGGAGGGACACAGGTAGCGCTGTGGGTTAAACCACAGAGCCTAGGGCTTGCCGATCAGAAGGTCGGCGGTTTGAATCCCCGCGACGGGGTGAGCTCCCATTGCTCGGTCCCTGCTCCTGCCAACCTAGCAGTTCGAAAGCACATCAAAGTGCAAGTAGATAAATAGGTACCGCTCTGGAGGGAAGGTAAACGGCGTTTCCGTGCGCTGCTCTGGTTCGCCAGAAGCGGCTTAGTCATGCTGGCCACATGACCCGGAAGCTGTACGCTGGCTCCCTCGGCCAATAAAGCGAGATAAGCGCTCAATCCCAGAGTTGGTCATGACTGGACCTCATGGTCAGGGGTCCCTTAACATTTACTAGGGTGCTGGAGGCAGGGCCCTGCTGCATAAATGGGTCTTTGACCCCCTGAAATCCCAGCCCGCTACCCCACCGCTCTGGGAACTTTCTCCTCCTTCATTTGTGAATCAGCCCAGATATTGTTGCTCTTCCTGGCCAAGATGGCCGCCGTTGCGCCAACTTACAACTTTCCCCTGTCCCCCTGCAATTGTGTGAGAGCTTTTTAAAAAATAGTTTTTATTAAGGATTTTCTTGTGTAACAAACAAATAAACAAAGAAAAGCACATAGAATACCACCGCTTTCAATTCATGGAGTCTTTTTCACAGTTCGCATTCGGTAGGACGCACTGTTGTCATGTACGCTATGCGGTTGGGTGAAAAAAGAGAGGACAGAAAGATGGAGGGGATATTGATCTTTCATTCTGTTGTGTAGTGTTTGTGTGGGATTTTACTGTCAGAGTCACGTGAGTAGGTCCTTTACTTGTACAGCGGTCAGTTGTCAAACGTAATCTGTTCCAAAACACCGTTCGACTTCCAAAATGTTTGAAAACCGAGGAGCAATGGGCGGTCAGCAAATTCCATCGAGAAAATGGAGAAACATGCCTCAGAAGCCGCTCAACTTCTGAGGCGCATTTGAAAATGGAAGCATTCACTTCCGTGTTTTCGGCGTTCGGGTTCCAAATTGTTCGGCTTCTGAGACACTCAAAAACCGAGGCTCCGCTGTATATTTTCAGTGGTACCTCAGGTTACAGATGCTTCAGGTTACAGACACTTCAGGTTACAGACTCCACTAACCCAGAAATAGTACCTCGGGTTAAGAACGTTGCTTCAGGGTGAGAACAGAAACTGCACGCTGGCAGCAGGAGGCCCCATTAGCTAAAGTGGTACCTCAGGTGAAGAACAGTTTCAGGTTAAGAATGGACCTCCAGAACAAATTAAGTTCTTAACCCGAGGTACCACTGTACTTATTTTGGTTGGCGTCATGAGAAATTGGAGGGTCCAGTGCTTGGTTGGTTGTGTTCAGTTGGTTGAAGTTTGCTTCGTTTGTACAACTGAGTGGGTTGTTGAGTCAGATCAGCTATAGCCAGTGCTATTTTTCTAGGAAAAAAAGGTGCTGGATCCCACCACGAACCCTCGTTCTCTTAGAATGTCAATGGTGCCAGAATTGTGTTCCGGTGAATTTCAGCTGAAAAAAAGCCCTAGTCGTATTGATATGTGTACTGTTGGGGAAGGGGAAGAGATAGGTCATTGGAGCCCCTTCTCCCCCCATGTTGTCCTGAGTGAGGGTGCTTCCTATTTTGGACCCCTCAGCTTAGAAATGAACTTCTGTGGTGTGTAGAGTTCTGACATGGTGGCTGGGACAATATCTGACATGGCGTCAGAACTATGTAAAATAATATTGGAGACAAAGCTAGAAAGGCACAAGAACTTATTCTTAAATTGCCGAAATCTCCATCACTTTCCCTTAGAATTGCTGAAGGATGAAGGACTGGAGAGACTATATGAAAGGCTGAAGGCGTCTCATGAGCTTTAGGCGGCTGTAGGATTCTCTGGCAGGGGACTTCCGATGATGGAGTTCCAGTTCGCTTCCCAAGAAGAAAGGGGACCAAAATTAAAATCTGGTCCCCTTTCTTCTTGGGAACTGAACTGGAACTCCTCCATCAGAAGTCCCCTGCCAAAGAATCCTACATGTGAATGGGCCCCTTTCGCTCACGAGACGCCGTGATCCAAAAGGGAACCGCTGACCTGGAGGTGAAATATGCCGTTTTCTGAGCAGTCCCTGGAACCATGTGCGACAGCTTCTTTGAACAGCCTGAGCCTGCGGTATGGAGCTGGTTGGGAAGAAAGTGCCTGCTATGTTGAGCTGCTGTAAAAGTCTCTCTTCTGGCTAATTTATTAGTTGGCAAAGACTCAGACTGGCCGATTTGGCCCATTGGTTCCGGACAATGCTTGGGGTGGGATTGTCGTCAAAGGACTTCAGCTTATGAACTTGCCGTCGTTTACTCAAGAGGTGTCAGGAATGATGTCCTCCCATCCCCAAACTTGGAACTGCTTAATAAGTGACCTCGCAAGCTCTGTAATCCTAGTGTAGCATTGTACGGGTGAATATGGGTCTGCTGGTGTGAATCTACTGATGGCCACCAACCTAGATAGCTTAAAACCCAGATGCCCTTCATAGAATCGAATAATTGTAGAGTCGGAAGAGTCAGACATCTGGTCCAGCAGTGCAGGGATCTCAACTAAAGCATCCCTGACAGATCGCCATCCAAGCTCTGCTTAGAAGCCTCCAAGGAAGGAGAGTCCACCATCTTCCAAGGGAATCCGTTCTAGTGTCGAACAGCTCTTACAATAATAATAATTTATTATTTGTACCCCGCCCATCTGGCTGGGTTTCCCCAGCCACTCTGGGCGGCTTCCAACAAAACACTAAAATACAATAACCTATTAAACATTAAAAGCTTCCCTAAACAGGGCTGCCTTCAGATGTCTTCTAAAAGTCAGATAGTTGTTGTTCTCTTTGACATCTGATGGGAGGGCGTTCCACAGCTCGGGCGCCACCACCGAGAAGGCCCTCTGTCTGGTTCCCTGCAGCCTCACTTCTTGCAGGGAGGGAACCGCCAGAAGGCCCTTGGCGCTGGACCTCAGTGTCCAGGCTGAACGATGGGGGTGGAGATGCTCCTTCAGGTATACTGGGCAGAGGCTGTTTAGGGCTTTAAAGGTCAGCACCAACACTTTGAATTGTGCTTGGAAACATACTGGGAGCCAATGTAGGTCTTTCAGGACTGGTGTTATGTGGTTTCGGCGGCCGCTCCCAGTCACCAGTCTAGCTGCTGCATTCTGGATTAGTTGTAGTTTCTGGGTCACCTTCAAAGGTAGCCCCACGTAAAGCACATTGCAGTAGTCCAAGCGGGAGATAACCAGAGCATGCACCACTCTGGTGTGACAGTCTGCGGGCAGGTAGGGTCTCAGCCTGCGTACCAGATGGAGCTGGTAGACAGCTGCCCTGGACATAGAATTGACCTGCACCTCCATGGACAGCTGTGAGTCCAGAATGACTCCCAGGCTGTGCAACTGGTCCTTCAGGGGCACAGTTGCTCCATTCAGGACCAGGGAGTCCCCCACACCCGCCCTGTCCCCCAAGAACAGTACTTCTGTCTTGTCAGGATTCAACCTCAATCCGTTAGCCGCCATCCATCCTCCAACCACCTCCAACCCTCAGAAAGTTCTTCCTGATGTTTAATCTTCCTTGATTTACCTTTGGAGAACCCTCAAGCAAGACCCCGGCACAAGAGCCCTCTACCCTCCTGTAAAGTAAAGGTAAAGGGACCCCTGATCATTAGGTCTAGTCGTGACTGACTCTGGGGTTGCGGCGCTCATCTCGCTTTTTGGCCGAGGGAGCCGGCGTACAGCTTCCGGGTCATGTGGCCAGCATGACTAAGCCACTTCTGGCGAACCAGAGCAGCGCACGGAAACGCCGTTTAACCTCCCCGCCGGAGCGGTACCTATTTATCTACTTGCACTTTGATGTGCTTTCCAACTGCTAGGTTGGCAGGAGCAGGGACAGAGCAACAGGAGCTCACCCCGTCGTGGGGATTTGAACTGCCGACCTTCTGATTGGCAAGTCCTAGGCTCTATGGTTTAACCCACAGTGCCACCCGCGTCCCTCCTGTAGCTTCCTGCAATTGGTATTCAGAAGTGTAGCTGCCTCAAGCTGCAAAGGCAAAACATAGCCATCACGGTTGGTAGCCACGGATATAGCCCTCTCTTCCTGCACAATCTTGTCCAGTCCTTTTTAAAGCCACCCAAGTTGTCAGCCATCACTGCCTCCGGTGGGAGGGAGTTCCACAGTTTAACCATGCAGTGAATGAATCAGTCCTTTCGTTCACCTGCCTTGAGAAAGTGCTTCTTCACACCTTGTTAACAAGACGGCAGTCCGTCCCTTTTGCCCTAGGATTCCCAGAGTGTTTGTAATGTGCCCGTTTCACCTCTTCTCTACCACAGGTGGTGAACGCCGCTGCTCATCTGCTCTCAAGTCTGCCGTGCTGTGTCTCCCCCACCATCTGAGGCCATTTCCTCTGGGGATCTTGCCTTCTTCCATCAGTTGTTGGCTCTGGAATCCTGTAGCTTGTGCAGCTGCCTTGACAATCTTTCTCCTAGAGGCCGTAGTCAACAGACACACACAAAAACCCACTTTGGATAATTGTTGTGACGCTCTCCTTTCTCCTTGCTGGGATAGATGCTTTGGGGTGATTTTATTGCATGTGGTGATTTTAGGGGTCGTTGCTATTAAAGTTAACCATTGCTTAGCACTAAAGAAGAAGAAGAAGAGTTTGGATTTGATATCCCGCTTTATCACTACCCGAAGGAGTCTCAAAGCGGTTAACATTCTCCTTTCCCTTCCTGCCCCACAACAAACACTCTGTGAGGTGAGTGGGGCTGAGAGACTTCAGAGAAGTGTGACTGGCCCAAGGTCACCCAGCAGCTGCAGGTGGAGGAGCAGGGAAGCGAACTCGGTTCACCAGATTACTAGTCTACCGCTCTTAACCACAACACCACACTGGCTCCCGCTAAAGAGCGACTTTGCAGGGGTTGCAAAGAGGACAGCCCCGGAGCCCAGACGCCCAAATTTGTGGAGGACAAAGCTCTCAGCAGCAGCTAGCTATGATGGCTATGTTCTGCCTTCTCAGTCGAAGGCAGGATGCATCTGAAGATGACTTGCGGGGAATGTGGGGAGTGTGCTGCTTTTGAACTCAGATCCTGCTTCGCACTGGGGGCATCTTGTCTGGCCAAACTGAGAACAGGAGTCAGGAGCCAGAGTCAGTTGCCTACCCACCACTCTCTAAGGCTCCTCCTCTCCAGGTGTTGTTTTTTTTAAAAAAATTAATTTTTCACAAATAAAAAAAAATACAATTTTTTAATATAGATCGTAAATTACTTTACCTACCATCTTCCCGTCCTCCCCTTCCATGGTTTCCATATTTACCCTTGAATGCTGCATATTTCACACAGACTATTCAATACATCCATTTTAACCTATTGCTTTTATTGTTGTTGGCCTGTCTGAGCCCAGCTTCGGCTGGGGAAGGCAGGATGATATTATTATTATTATTATTATTATTATTATTATTATTATTATTATTATTATTATTATTATTTTGATTAATAACGCTGTTGCTCATGTTTCAAGTCTTGCTCACGTTTTCATCTCACTATGGTGGTTCTTTAAATACTCAATAAAAGGTCTCCAGTCCTCAAGGGGTTTTTCGTTGTTTTGGTCTCTAATCTTCGCTGTTAATCTTGCCGGTTCCACATACTCTCCCAAGGTTTCCCCCCTCCCCCAAGCGCAACCAACAGCGGCAAGAGTCTTGATAGCACAAGGATGGAAGAATGAGGAAATCCCAACGAATGAACAGTGGCAAGAGAAATTGATGAGCTACGCAGAGTTGGCTAAATTGACATATAAACTGCGGGACAAGGACAACTGCGACTTTAAGGAAGAATGGGAGCTTTTTACAAATTATCTAAACAAAATGAACATACACAAATTTATTGGTTGATAACATGATAGTGAGATAAGGTAAGGACATGTATAACTTTATAACATGCAGAGAATAATATGTACAGAGGAATCAGCTGAAGGAAGTCCCTGGTGGGAGGGGGGAGGGAGGGATGGAAGGGGGCGTAGGAAGATCAAACCTATCCATTGTGAAGGAAATCAGCCCTGAGTGCTCACTGGAAGGACAGATCCTGAAGCTGAGGCTCCAAGACTTTGGCCACCTCATGAGAAGAGAAGACTCCCTGGAAAAGACCCTGGTGTTGGGAAAGATGGAGGGCACAAGGAGAAGGGGACAACGGAGGACGAGATGATTGGACAGTGTTCTCGAAGAGACCAGCCTGAGTTTGACCAAACTGTGGGAGGCAGTGGAAGACCGGAGTGCCTGGCGTGCTCTGGTCCAGGGGGTCACGAAGAGTCGGAAACGATTAAACGACTAAACAACAACAACAAATGTATGTGGTTATACGATTTGATAATATGTTATGCTGAAATTGCTTAATAATTTTTTTTTTTTAAAGAGAGATCCAGCAGGGCTCAGCAAATAGAAGCAAGGGGTGGGAAATCTGAACTGAAAATAAAACCCATCCCAACATGGGGAAAGGGACATGGGCAGTTTGTGCTTCACCTGTTGACTTCAGCAAGGACATGGACAGCAAATATTCTCCCCTGCCTTTTTTTCCGCAGCACCTGGGATGTCGCAGCCACTGGAGCACAGTGTCTTTTGCAGAAGGGATGGGTGGAAACACATTTTACCCCCTGCAAAGACGCCAGGTGGAAATGCCAGCAGCCGCCTGGCCAGCTGGAAGCCAGATGTGCATGCCATGTTACTCGTGGGAGATCCGTGTTTGGAGTTGTACTGTGCTGAAATCTGCCCTCCAGTTTCTAAAAAGTTTTCTACCGAAGCAGAAGAATATAAGAGCTCCTAGAGTGTTGGAGATAGGGACGCGGGTGGCGCAGTGGGTTAAACCACAAAGCCTAGGACTTGCCAATCAGAAGGTCAGCAGTTCAAATCCCCGCAATGGGGTGAGCTCCCGTTGCTCAGTCCCTGCTCCTGCCAACCTAGCAGTTCGAAAGCACCTCAAAGTGCAAGTAGATAAATAGGTACCGCTCTGGCGGGAAGTTAAATGGGTATGGTATATAAATAGCAGCATGTAGCTCTCTCAGAGGGACACGGGTGGCGTTGTGGGTTAAACCACAGAGCCTAGGACTTGCCAATCAGAAGGTCAGCAGTTCGAATCCCCGCAACGGGGTGAGCTCCTGTTGCTCGGTCCCTGCTCCTGCCAACCTAGCAGTTCGAAAGCACATCAAAGTGCAAGTAGATAAATAGGTACCGCTCTGGCAGGAAGGTAAACGGCGTTTCCGTGCGCTGCTCTGGCTTGCCAGAAGTGGCTTAGTCATGCTGGCCACATGACCCGGAATCTGTACGCCAGTTCCCTCGGCCAGTAAAGCGAGATGAGCGCCGCAACCCCAGAGTCGTCCGCGACTGGACCTAATGGTCAGGGGTCCCTTTACCTTTACAGTGATGGAGAAATGCAATGACAAACCTAGACTGCATCTTAAACAGCAGAGATATCATCTTGCCGACAAAGGTCCGTATAGTTCAAGCTATGGTTTTCCCCAGTAGTGATGTATGGAGGTGAGAGCTGGACAAGAAAGAAGGCTGATCGCCGAAGAATGGATGCTTTTGAATTATGGTGCTGGAGGAGACTCTTGAGAGTCCCATGAACTGCAAGAAGATCAATCCGATCCATTCTGAAGGAAATCAGCCCTGAGTACTCACTGGAAGGACAGATCCTTCCATGTTTCAGCTTGTCAATATCCTTCTTAGATTGTGGTGCCCAGAACTGAACTCCAGGTGTGGTCCGACTGAGGCGGAATAGAGCAGTACCATCACTTCCCCTGGAAGTCGTAGAACTGCAAGGTTGGAAGGGACCTCGAGACATCTAGTCCAACCCTCTGCAATGCAGGAATCGCAATGCAAGAATCGCAGCTCGCTTGGTTCAAGCACAGCTCAGGCTCCATCTTCCAAAAGGAGCAGGACCTTTTTTACAAAATGCATGCACTCACAACTTTTCTGAAAAAGAAAAATAAGAAACCACCTTGGCTGCCTGCCAGTTCGTCTCCCTCTCGCACAAGGGAGAAGAAAAGCTGAGGCTTAAAGTTGTCAAAGGGGCTTGTCAAAGCGAAGCGGAGAGTGCCGAGATGCGGAGATAAACGGGGCTGCTGGAACATTTCTTGGTCCCATTCCAAGGGAAGCATTTTTCAAGCGTTTGAGCAATCAGCCATGTTTGAAAGCAATCAAGAGAAGTCGGGGGACGGGGGGGAGGACAGGCAGGAGATGGGCCAGCAAACAAAGGTGCTGGCGGGAAATTACCGCCAAGAGCAAACGACCCTCCATCTTAACAAACTCGAGGTTTCGGAGAAAGGGAGTCTTGTTTGCCAGAAGGGCTGGGTTCAAACATGCAACAAAATAGCCGGGCGTGAAGGAATTTGGAATTCAGTCTTTCAGACAGCGGGGAGTATGTAACATTAAAAAAAAGAAATCTGTAATTTTGAAAGATCTTCTCATGTAGAAATATAGCGTTTCAAGGAAGAGGTTTAGACTAAAATCTCTCTCCCTGATGGGCTCAATTTCTGCTTGCAGGGAGGCTTAGGAAAGAACAGGAGGGAGCATTTGGAAATTCCCCCATGTTACTGTGGTACACAGTCCACCCCATCACTGTGTTGTTGTTTAGTCGTGTCCAACCCTTCGTGACCCCCTGGACCAGAGCATGCCAGGCACTCCTGTCTTCCACTGCCTCCCGCAGTTTGGGCAAACTCATGCTGGTAGCTTCGAGAACACTGTCCCACCATCTCGGCCTCTGTCGTCCCCTTCTCCTTGTGCCCTCCATCTTTCCCAACATCAGGGTCTTTTCCAGGGAGTCTTCTCTTCTCATGAGGTGGCCCAAAGTCTTGGAGCCTCAGCTTCAGGATATGTCCTTCCAGTGAGCACTCAGGGCTGATTTCCTTCAGAATGGAGAGGTTTGATCTTCTTGCAGTCCATGGGACTCTCAATAGTCTATTAATAATATTAACAATAATATTATTGTTATTATTAAGGCCTGAACCAATGGATCCAAGAACGGAGATTCCAAGAAAGGAGATTCCAACTAAACACCAGGGAGAATTTTCTGATAGCAGGAGCTGTTCGGCTCCCTTGGAACGTGGCGGACGCTCCTTCATAGGAGGTTTTTAAACAGAGGTTGGACGGCCTTCTGTCGGGGATTCTTTAGCTGCAGTGCAAGGGGTTGGACTAGATGACCTCTGGCGTTCCCTTCCAGCGCCGTGATTCACCCTCTCTCCCTCCCTCTTTCCCTGTCCCTCAGGTGTTTGATGGCTGCTCCGTTGGGGGGGGGGAGCTGTTCTTGCTGAGGAATTCCACAACGCCGACTGTTATGGATGTGTTTTGCCCATGAGGTATATAGGGGGGGGGGCTTTGCCTCCCTCTCGCATTCCTTATTGCAAGCATCACAAGGAGAAATGGGACCACTGCAAAGAAAAAAAGCCTGCCTGACAGCCAGGAATCAAAGAATAAGCCCCATGGCAGCCCCTCCTCCTCCTCCCTCACAACTTTCCCCCAACTCTGCTCAGAGTTTGGGGGTCTTTTCTTCGCTCTTCTTGCTGACACGGGAACTGCAGCCGCTTGGCGATTCTTGCAGGAACAGCCTGGTCTGCCTGCAGCTTGGGTGGTGTTTTATTATTGAAAAAGACCCAGGTGGAGAGAGGAACAAGCCCTCGGCCTCTGGGACGGACGAGGCCGCTGGACAAGGTTTTGCTGTTCATAGTGTTTTATCACTACAGCGGCCAAGGATGTACCCACAAGCTCAGAGCAGGTAAGTGGTGCTAATATCGTCTTTAGCAGAGCTCAGGGTTGGGTGGTTTCTTTCTCGACTCGCTCCCAGCGAAGCAAATCGCCGCATTTTAGAAGTAGGAATTGGGGACGGGGGGTAGAAAATGGTTTCAGCTTGCTTTCGAAGGAAAGCCTACTTAATTCACACTACGCAAGCCAAAACACGCCATGCTTTGTCATTCGCGTTTCTTCAGATTTTGCAGTGCCGTTCTCCAGCTAAGTAAGGTGTACAAAAATGCATGTAACAGGGTAAAGAATGCATAGAAATTCATATAATCGTGAAAATAAGATAGCGAAAATGCGTCTTGTTAGGGGGAAGTGCTTTGCAGAAATGTGCATGTTACGCAAAATTCTGCGCACAGAAATGTGAATATTAGGATAAGTTCACAACAAAATGCTGGCGAATTTCCACGATGAGTTGATGGTTGTTGTTTTAAAAAATTCAAACTGGTGTGGAAATGTGGAGGACTGATAGGACAAATGAGAAACTCGGAGGAACAAAAATCTACAGATTCACCAACCCCAGGACTGAAGGCGAGTTCTTATTAGCCCCCATTTGTTTCGCTAGGGAGTTATGCACAGAGTTAAATCTCCTGTTGAAATCTGTATGGCTTTAACACTGTAATTCTACACAGGGGAAACAAGTCACATTGTCACCAACAAGACTTTTGTCACTTGCTATCTTCTGCAACTTTCTGCATCTCTCCTCAACACCCTACTGTGTTGAAAGGGGTTTGCTCGCTTGTTAAGCTACAGGGTTTCCCCCTGAAAGTGCAAGACTTTGGCAGGATTTTGTTGTTGGCTGTTTATGCTATCCGATGCAAAGCATCCTGATTGGTGCCAGTTGGTGGCAATAATAATAATAATAATAATAATAATAATAATAATAATAATAATATATTTATTATTTATACCCCACCCATCTGGCTGGGCGGCTTCCAACAAAATATTAAAATACAATAATCCATCAAACATTAAAAGCTTCCCTAAACAGGGCTGCCTTCAGATGTCTTCTAAAAGTCTGGTAGTTGTTCTTATCTTTGACGTCTGGTGGGAGGGCGTTCCACAGGGCGGGTGCCACTACCGAGAAGGCCCTCTGCCTGGTTCCCTGTAGCTTGGCTTCTCGCAGCGAGGGAACTGCCAGAAGGCCCTCGGAGCTGGACCTCAGTGTCTGGGCAGAACGATGGGGGTGGAGACGCTCCTTCAGGTATACTGGGCCATTTAGGGCTTTAAAGGTCAGCACCAACACTTTGAATTGCGCTCGGAAACGTACTGGGAGCCAATGTAGTTTAACGGATGAATCTTGGATACGATGGAGATGTAAAATATTTGGATTATTATAAAAGATTCAGGAGGAAATAGCTAACAAGAGGACCCACGAAGGGGAGGAGGGAACTCCAGGAGATTTTTTTTGGAATCTTGTGTTTATGTTGTATGTTGGATATGTGATTGTAAAACTGTAATTTGAAAAATGAACAAAAAGGAATTCCAAAGCTGTGGATTTTCACAGGACATGAAATTGCTTTACTGAAACTTGCACATAAATAAATAAATAAAGATATATATATCCCTGTGCACAGAGGAATGTTGGATATCTGCCCAATTCAAGATCTGGGTGGGATAAGAGGAAGAGCCTTCTGGATAACCTTCCATGACTTTGCTGCTTGCAGGCGTTTGGGTCATTATCATGCAAATAAAGTCAGGGTTGGGCCAAGAATGTCGACCTGTCTTCCCAAACCTCACACACCTTGTCTGGGAATCGCCCAGTTCCACCTGCTGCAAATTGGGAATGTTCTGCTGCTGGGCATAAATTTCATTGCCTCTCACATAACACTAGAGCTCACACAGACATCCCAAAAAGCTGAATGTCGGGGAAGATAACAAGAAAGTACAACTTCACACAGCAGTTAGTTAACCTGTGGAACTCCCTCCCACAGGAGACAGGGGTGGATTTAAAAGAGGTGGCTTTAAAAGAGGATGAGGGAAATTCATGGAGGATAAGGCTATCAAGGAACATAAGGACATAAGTAGAACCTGCTGGATGAGGCCAGTGGCCCATTTGGTCCAGCATCCTGTTCTCACAGTGGCCAACCAGATGCCCCAATGGGAAAGCCGCAAGAAGGATTCGAACACAAGAGCCTTCTCCCCTCACTCCATGGCCTCTAGCAAGTGGTGCTAGCAAGGGCTGATGGGAGTTGTAGTCCAGAACATCTGGGCGGCATTCAGGTAGGCAAAGGCAGGCCTACAGAGCTTGGTTCTCCTCCTTGATCTTATGAAGAAATGCAGAGTGGGTGCTTTCTCGTGAGTAGAGGATGTTGGAGAATGAAAACAGACAAAGTAATAATAATAATATTAATAAATTTTATTTATACCCTGCCGGGCTCAGGGCAGCTAACACCAATAAAATCACAGTAAAAACATAATAGGGGGAAAGGGGAAAAAAAGGGGGGAAATTAAAATACAGGTTAAAATGCAATTTAAAATGCAGCCTCATTTTAAAAGTAGCTGATAGATCAAGACCATAAGGGGAGGGAAACATAAGGGTCAGACTGAGTCCAAACCAAAGGCCAGGCGGAACAGCTCTGTCTTGCAGGCCCTGCGTAAAGATGTCAAGTCCCGCAGGGCCCTGGTCTCTTGTGACAGAGCATTCCACCAAGTCGGGGCCAGTACTGAAAAGGCCCTGGCCCTAGTTGAGACCAATCTAACCACCTTGCGACCTGGGGCCTCCAAAATGTGGAGTGGAAATCGCTTTTTCTGCTTATTTGTCTCGTGTCTGGAACAGAAATTAATCCAGTAAATACGACCAGTTGCTTTCAAGATAGGTGGCTGACGGCATCACATAGCCCTGCCTTGCATAGTGTTTCGTTTGCATTGAAATGACCGTGAATAACATGAGGACAATGTAATTGACGTAACTTGTGGTTGGCATCCATCTGTCTCGAGACACAGCAGAGTGCTCCTCCAGGGCATTAGCCGCACCCAAGTGACCTCCCTGGGCAGTGTGTCTGGAGGTCCTGGGCTGAATGGTCTCTTTAAATTTGAAGATGTGTATTTCTTTAAAGGCCAGAGCAAACAACGTGACCTAGTTTTACAGCTGTGAAGCAGTTTAGCAGGTGCTGTTAAGTTGTGGTAACTAAGCTGTTGGGTATGGTATGTAAAGGGACGTGGGTGGTGCTGTGGGTTAAACCACAGAGCCTAGGGCTTGCCGATCAGAAGGACGGCGGTTCGAATCCCCGCGATGGGGTGAGCTCCCGTTGCTCAGTCCCTGCTACTGCCAACCTAGCAGTTCGAAAGCACATCAAAATGCAAGTAGATAAATAGGTACCACTCTGGTGGGAAGGTAAACTGCGTTTCCGTGCGCTGCTCTGGTTCGCCAGAAGCGGCTTAGTCATGCTGGCCACATGACCTGGAAGCTGTATGCCGGCTCCCTCGGCCAATAAAGCGAGATGAGCGCTGCAACCCCAGAGTCGTCCGCGACTGGACCCAATGGTCAGGGATCCCTTTACCTTTTTAAGCTACTGAAGTTAATGGGGCCCTTTATATGTCCAGCTATCCTTTGTCAACAACAAATGATCGCTGCTTTTTGTGTTGAATATATGCTATATGGTAATTTATGGACCTGATAGGTATCTCAAGCCATTTGCACATAACAAATAGGAGACTACACAACACAAAACACTGTTGCTGTATCTAGGTTTTGCCTTATTTGTTTTTTATCTTATATTTTGGAAATTTACATCCAGTTTTTTCCCCCTTTAATTTTTTTTTGGGCCCCCAACAGAGTGGGGCCCTAAGCTATAGATTGTTTAGCTTATACGTAAATCCGGCACTGAGGGGGTTGGACCAGATGACTCTAGAATTCTATGATTTTATGGTGGAGGATGAACTGCAGCAGAACGGAAACTGTGCTGCGTGCCATGAGTTCAGGGCAGAACAGAAAATGCCTTCTTGCATCCATACTGTCAACCCAACACCCCCAGCAATGCCAAGCAGTGCATTTTACAGTGTGCCAAGGAGAGGGCCTCTTTAAAAGCGCTTCCTTCAGCTGTTCTGTGTTGCCAACTGGGGCAAATCTCCCAGGATGGGGGAGAAGTGAGGGTGGGCACCCCGTCCCCGGAATCTGGATTCTCGCCCTGTCTGTTTGAGAGCTGTGTTGCTAATTTTCTCCAGCCTCGCTTTCCAAAGATGTCTTTCCAAGATTCTGCCTTGGCTTGTTCCAGCTGTTTAGCCTGGACGGGTGCCAGAAGTCATTCTTCTCCAGATAAAACAGCAGAAAGGGCTCTTTGTGCATTTCAATGGCATATTAAGAAAAGGTGAGATCGGTCTTTCCAAAACTGAAAACACTCTCATTCAAGGCACATTCAACAGAGCCCAGGCTTAATCCCCTGCCTGGCAATCAGCAAAAGGGGACAAATTTATGAATGGCCGACGCAGCTTTCTGCAGAACCCCGTATTTTCCTCCTTATCGACACGGCTGGCACAGGGAGAGAAAGCCTTGAGTGGAAACATCTGGGGAATGGCATCCTCAAGAGCCGTTTGCTAATGTGAGAAGTGGGTTGCTGATTGAATAGAGGCCCCTCGGATTTGTTAGATTGGAAACAAATTTGAAAATGAATTAAAGTTGGGGTGTGTGTGTGTGTGCTATGATCGCAGCTGGCAGCATTGTATGGGTGTGCAAAGAAACGGGTAGGAAAATAAAACTGAACTCTGCTTTGGCCGATACAAGTTTCAGGTGTGCAAGGCAGGGGATGTGGGGGGTGGGACAGGGGACGGGACCGGGGAGACGACTGAGCAGAAATGCCCCCTTGTCACTTCATCAGGCAGTCATTAAGTTGGGGAAGGGGCTTCAGGAGGTGAATAAAAAGTGGGATGAAAGTTGTCACACTGGTGCTCTTGGCAAGTAGTTGCAGATCACACACACACACACACACACACACACACACACACACACACACCCTGCCGCTGTGGCACAGAATAATAGAA